AGTTGCAAGTAAATGTTGTTGAAAAATTACATCAGTAAATACTTAAATATGTGAATAAACTAATAAGAGGAAATAAAGTATCGTTTTTCTTTCGTTACCATGAACATTCAGTGTATTAACTCTGACAGATTCCTGGGACATACATGGAATGTTCATAATAACTCATGTATATCCCAGGAATATGCATGTACATCATATGAATGTTCCCGGTATATTCTGGGAATATCATTTTGCTATGTGGGTCAGTTTGCCGTTGGTTTTGATCAGTTTAAGCACCTTTTTATTTCGCTAATTGTCTCCTTTGTACACCTTCAAAATGCGCTGAAGGCGTTGCAAAACTGCAGTTTCTGCCCAACCATCACTTGCTATTAAAAAGACTTTTGATTGCCATTAGAGGTGCATTCCCGAGTTCATCAATGCCGCCTTCAACATGGAAATGGAAGCGACCAATACATGCGGAATCGATGGAGAGCAGGAATATTGCGTCCAAACCGGAATATCCGGGGTGCGGAAGTCCTGCTCGGTGTGTTTCCCCGGACAGTACCACGCCCGCTTCCTCACCGACATCCACAACGTGGACAACCCGACCTGGTGGCAGTCCCAAACGATGCTCGAAGGCATCCAGTACTTCAGCCAAGTGAACTTAACGTTGCGATTCGGTAGGAGCTGGCAGGCTGGCAAGGTGCACTTAAAGTTTCACCGGTTTTCCAGGCAAGGCGTTCGATATCACCTACATCCGGCTTTGGTTCATGTCGCCCAGGCCGGAAAGTTTCTCCATTTTGAAGAAAACGACCGCGGATGGCCCTTGGGTGCCCTTCCAATACTACAGGTAGGCGCCCTGTAGGACACCGTAAACCAGCTCAGTTAGTTGTGTTGTAGCGCGACGTGCCGAGACACTTACGGCCTGCCCGACCACATTTACACGTCAAAAGGGGAAGAAACCAGAGCTTTGTGCACCTCAGAGTATTCGGACATTTCGCCCCTAAGGGGCGGAAATGTCGCCTTTGGCACCCTGGAAGGACGGCCATCGGCTTACAGCTTCGACACTAGTCCAGAGCTTCAGGTGAGCCACCAAACGTTTCTTTGAACCACTGTATAAAACCTGTCGTGCTCAATCGCATACTAATATGCGCTTAATGGAATAAACGGGTCGGGGGATCGTGAGCGATCCCCATTTCACCCCCAAGCGACGATTAGAACGCAACGCGCCTCATTCGGCTTCTTCGAGCTGCTGAACCTTCGGTGCATCCTTCATCATGCATCGTCATCGCCGACTGGTACCGACCAGGTCAACGTTGAAGCTCACCCATAAACCAGCCAATCAAAATCAGTGTCACAATCGAAGTAATCAGCCTCCAGCTTCTGGTTCTGCACGAGAAATGGACGATGAAGAGAACCAGTTCATCGTCGACGATGTGACGAAAATTGTTAAGGACACGATTGAGGGTCTGCTCACTGGCAACGTGTACCAGCAGGAGAAGGTGAACCAGTGGAGCGCATCGGTATCAGAACAGTGTCTGAGCGCGCTCAGCAAGCTGAAGAAGAACTTCAAGTATGTGGTGACCTGTTCGATCATGCAGAAGACAGGGGCTGGTCTGCATACGGCCAGCTCCTGCTATTGGGACAGCGCAACTGATGGGACCTGCACAGTGAGATGGGAGAACAAGACCATGTATTGTGTAGTCACTGTATTTGGTTTAGCCATTTAGAGGATTGGTGCGAATTCGAATAAAATCGTTCAGTGAAGAGCCCTTGATCTTTTTAGAGTTTCCAACTCGACTCGATTTTGCCAGCAAAAATGTGTAGAATCGACCACTTGGTCATAAGTGAACGTTGTAGACGAGTTCTATATTGTTGAGGCGGATTCATTTTTTTACAAACTTCTTTTTGGGTATTTCGCCTCAAAAATTGTTGTCTTTGAAAAAGACAGAATTTCCTCACGACTTCTATTACAGATTGATAAATAGTGCTCCTATTTCGCAA